ATCTTTTTTTTTTTTTTTTTTTTTTCTTTTGCTGAGATTTCTAAAGTAGTACCACACTAGTAGTATTTACGAGTTAAATGCCTCAAAAGAGGTTGAAGAAAATAAATATTTCCAAAATATTCAAGTAGAAGTTCATTCATGTTGTTTTCGTGACTAAAGGCTGCCAGTGTTTTCCTTTGAAAATGAGCTAATTGATTGCATTCAAACTAGGAAGGTTTTCTTTGTTCTTTTTTTCATTGAAGAGTGCAGTGAGATATTGCGACTATTATTCCTATTCTCTTTGGGTTTGTACACCCTGGAGTCTAGCGTTCCTCCAAGGAAGGAAGATAAACGTTTGTAAGTATTAGATCTGGTTTGGAAAATTCTGCCCCATTCAGAGTATAATACAGAAGAGTCAGCAATCCTAGCAAGTTGTAATGGAAGCAGAATATAGTGACTCTAAACAGTAGTCCAAAATGCATTTTCATTGAATTTGAAAAAGCTGATATAATTTTTAACTTAGTCTGCAAGTGTATGTGATCAGGAGGAATTGCTACTTTGCTTTGGATCAAATTAAAAGTAGTATGCGTATTAAATACACCACACCATATTTTATCTGCAAATAATTTATATATTTCAAAATGGATCAAAGTCTATGTGAATCACGATAGTCAGGGATATATTTGTTTCCGTTGGATAATAGTTGATTTGTTAGTATCCTTGCCCCTCATGAACCAGTAGAATAAAAAGAGTATGTTTCTATTAATCAAATACCAAAACTTATTATGTAATGAAGAGATCAAATTTATCTATTTCTTCATTTAATATGTTGAACATGACTTTAATCGTGGAGATACATGGGTAAGGAAAACACTATTATGCTTAATTTGTTCACATGTTTGTGATAGATTACCTTGATTTCAATAGTATCACTTGATAAGATTTGTGCTTCAAGGACTTTTTATTGTTGAATTGCATTGGTGAGTTTCCATCATCTTCCTCATGCTCCCTATTTAGCTCTCATGTTAATCTTGAGAGGTTTATTATATCATGGTTTTATAAATGAACCCATAAACCCAAGAATAGCTATATACTTAAATTCAGTTCAAGTAAAAATACAGTTAACCTTGAACAACATAGGTTTGAATTGCACAAGGCCACTTACAGGTGGATTTTTTTTTATAAATATACTTCAGTACTGTAAATGTTTTCCTCTTTATTATTTTTAAATATTTTTTCTAGTTTACCTTATTGTAACAATCAGTATGTATTACATCTAATGTACAGAATATGTTTAATTGACTATTATCAGTAAGGATTCTGGTCAATTGTAGGCTGTTAGTAGTTAAGTTTTGGAGGAACCAAATTATATGAGGATTCCAATTGCACCCACATCAGAGGCCCTCAATGCATATTGCTCAGGGATCAGCTGTCATCTCTCTGTTAAGTAGCCAGGGGAGGGGGGACCTAAAAGACGGTGAGTCACAGGTTTATGGAAGTTAAGACGTTTGATCACTGTGAGTAGGTATGTCAGTGTCATAGATGACACTAGAATCTTGGTGTTCTGTTTGGGTCTAAGGATTCTTTCTACTATTTCATAATGGCCCTTATTAACTTTTTGTTTCATGTTTATTTATTTTGAGAGAGAGAGAGAGAGAGAGAGAGAGAGAGAGAGAGAGAGAATCCCAAGCTGACAGCACAGAGCCTGATGCAAGGCTCGATCCCATGAACCATGAGATCATGACCCAAGCTGAAATCAAGAATCAGACACTTAACTGACTGAGCCACCTGGGTGTCCCATACTTTACTTATTTTTTTAAAACAATTATTTATTTTAGAAAGAGCATGAGAGTGAGAGAGAGGGGAGAGGGAGAGAGAGAGAATACCAAGAAGGTTCCATTTTCAGTGCGGAGCGCAACACAGGGCCCCATCCCACAACCCTGGGATTATTACCTGAGCCAAAACCAAGAGTCAGATGCTCAGGGTGCCTGGGTGGCTCACTTGGGTATGTGACCAACTGGTGATTTCAGCCCAGGGCATGATCACACTATTCATGAGTTCAAGCCCTGTGTCGGGCTCTGCACTGACAGTGTAGAGCCTGCTTGGGATTCTCTGCCTCTTTATCTCTCTCTCTCTCTCTCTCTCTCTCTCTCTCTCTCTCTCAAAAAAAAATTTTTTTTTTTTAATATTAAACAACAAAAAAGCGTCAGACGCTCAACCGACAGAGCCGCCCAGGCGCCCCGGTTCCCTATACCTTTTAATGGAATTCTAAATCATAAAATATTGGCCAAGGTGATCTTACAAAACTTCAATTTTTTAAACATTAAGAAGATATTTTAATATTACACTTCGAATGAGAAGTAATAGCTGTTAGCTTTGCATTGTGTCTCATTCCTCACACTTTCTTTAAGGCAATATATTACACTGTATTATTCTGGTGAAATAGACTTTGTTTAGAGAAGAAGCAATCTTACAGAATTTCTTTCTATGATGTTTGTGAAAGCTCTCCAGATTTGCTAAGACCATTATGCTAATATATATTCATTACCAAAACACAGCAAAAGATCAAATTTCCCTTTGCAAATTTTTTAACACTTATTTATTCTTGAAAGACAGAGTCAGAGCATGAGCAGGGGAGGGGCAGAGGGAGAGGGAGACACAGAATCCCAAGCAGGCTCCAGGCTCCGAGCTGTCAGCACAGAGCCCGACACGGGGCTCGATCTCACAGACCGTGAGATCATGAGCTGAGCGGAAGTCGGACGCCCAACCGACTGAGCCACCCAGGCACCCCTCAAACTTCCCCTTTAAATATGTCTATGTACCCACTGACTTTGAGAACCCAAAATACAAAAGTCTCAAACCATAAACGAAGAGGTGGTGTTTCATGTTGTAAAGGAATTTTTATTTTATAAAGCTCACCACAGGAATCCTTCCCTTAAAAGGTTTAATGATCTGTAAGTAAGCATTTAAATTCAATAAGAACAGCTTATTATTTTGCAGGTAAAATATAGAAGAGAGAAATCTTAAGTGGAGGCGTTGGTAGCTATCAACAATTGGTAAAATCAGTCAAATCGGAGTTGAATGTATATACACGAGACTTCTATAAGGCGTCCTTGTCAGTGCTGTCTACCACTTTAATGAGATAAAATTTTATTTATGAAAGTGAAAGGCAACAGTTCACGGTCTCAAAGGGAAATAGTAATTTACCCTTTCAAAATCACAAATGCATATTGCGAATGCTGTAAGCAATTTAAAACACCCTAGCTTTTACTAAAATTCATAAATCAAATTACTCCCATCTGGGAGTACAGAGGAAATGGACATGTAGCTTTTGAGTAAAGTGGGAAAGGGAGCCAAGTTTGTATTTACCTTGCCCGTCGGGAGGCTTCTCCTCTCTGAATTCTGTAAGATGTTGGACATCCTTCCATAATTCTTGAAAATTTTTAAGGAAGTCGGTCATTAAAGTAGATTTTTTTAAGAACAATTTAGTTATAAAACATTTGAAGGAAATGAAAGGCCCGGTTTCAGGAGAAATGAACCAATAAATGCCGGAGTCTGTTAAGAACATTTCTAGTACAGTGAAAATCATGAGGAGGGGAGGGAGGGGGAGAGAGAGAGAGAGGGAAAGAGAAAGGGAGAGAAACAGAGAGGGAGAGAGAGAAGGGGGAGGGAGTGAGACATGGGGGAGAGGGAGAAGGAGAATAGTGTCAGGACACCATTATTTCTTACTAAAATGTATTTATTTAGTCGTGGAGGTCACAGGCACAACATAGGAAATCTATAATTTGAAAATGTGTGCTGCGTAAAGTCTCCCTCGTCTGCCTCTGCTGTCTCTCCCACACCCTTCTCTGGGATATTAATGTCATCAGTTTCTTGTTCATCCACCACCGATTCTTTTTGCATAAAAACAAGCCCCTTGTTTTTTCAGTATTCTAGCTCTTCCTCTGCTTTCACAAATGAGAACATAGTATGAACTTCCTCTTTATTGTGTTGTTTTCTTACAACACCACATCTTAAAGTTATTTTAAATATCAATATGTGGTGAACATCTTTCTTTTATAAAATCATGTATGGGGCACCTGGGTGGCTCAGTCGGTTAAGCGTCCAATTTTGGCTCAGGTCGTGATTTCACGGTTTGTGGGTTCGAGCCCCGCGTCGGGCTCTGTGCTGACAGCTCGGAGCCTGGAGCCTGCTTTGGATTCTGTGTCTCCCTCTCTCTCTCTGCCCCTCCCCTGCTCTCACTCTGTCTCTCTCTCAGAAATAAATAACATTAAAAAAATATAAAAAGTATATACATATAGCTTCTAAACATACGGCTTTTCATTCACTTAATGTTGCAGTGTCTTTCAGGACTGTTTTAAAAAGTTTTCTTAAATTTCTTCTTGAGTATTTGTTGTTAAGTTTATCCCCTCCCATTTTAAGTTTTTGTTGGTGTAGTAAATGGAATCTCTTCTTCCCTGAAAATCTTCTACCGGTTGTGGCTTTTTTTTTACATGAAAGTTAATAATTATTTTGTAGTTAGTTTCTGTTGTCTTACTGAATTTTTTCCTTAGTTTGTAGCAACTTTTTTTTTTAAATTGATTTCGTTTGACTTTCTGGTATGCAGTCATATCATAAGCAACTAGTGACACCTCTTTATCTCCTCTTTTTCGTGGTTTATACGTTTTATTTATTTATATTTTAATGTAGCCATTAATTCCTGTAAAATATTAAGTGGTACGAGAAGTATTAGCAATCTTTGCCTTGTTCCTTTTTTTTTTTAATTTTTTAACATACGATTTGTTGTCACACGGACGAACATACAGTGTGTAAAGCGTGCTCTTGGTTTTTGGGGTAGATTCTCGTGGTTCATCACTTCCATACAACACCCGGTGCTCATCCCAACAGGTGCCCTCCTCAGTGTCCAACACCCACTTCCTTCTCTCCCTCACCCCCCATCAACCCTCAATTTGTTCTCTGTATTTAAGAGACTCTTATGGTTTGCCTCCCTCCCTCTCTGTTTGAAACTACTTTTCCCCCTCCCCCTCCCCCGTGGTCTTCTGTTAAGTTTCTCAAGATCCACATATGAGTGAAAACATATGGCACCTGTCGTTCTCTGACTGACTTATTTCACTCGGCATCATACCTTCCAGTTCAATCCACGTTGCTGCAACTGGCAGGATTTCATTCTTTCTCATTGCCATGTAGTGTTCCGTTGTGTATATAAACCACATCTTCTTTGTCCGTTCTGTTTCTGTTCCTCCGTAAAAATAACTGTGGAGTTTTCATAATACGAGACATAATCGTATACACTTTTCCTTAATGCAGTCAAGTTTATACACTTTACTGCTCTTTCCTACCCTTTTAATTATACTACGGCATGATTCTCTTATTGGCAGCGTATATGTTCCGAGAGCCCCAGGGCACGTCGGAATCTGTGGGTTGTACTGAAGCCTGTGTATACTGTGTTTGTTTTTCCTGTACAACGTATGTGTAATAAAGTTTAATTCCTGCATTGGGCACAGTAAGAGATTAGCAACAAGTAACAATACAATGCAGTGATTATAACAGGGACTGTAATAAAAGCTATGTGGATGTGGTCCCTCCCTGTCAAAATACCTTGTTGTCCCTCGCTCCCCCTTCTTCTTCTTGTGCTGATGTGAGGTGACAAGCCGTCTGCGTGATGAGGTGACGTGGGGTGAGTGACTCGTGGCCTCCTGACTGTACTCAGGAGGAGGTGCACCTGATTCTGGACCGTGGGTGACCGCGACACCTGAGGCTGTGGAAAGTCACACCCTGGGGAAGGGGGGACTACCGCACTGAGTGCCAGTACCTATTTATTACTGATGACCAAGTAAGAAAGTGCTGAATATTCTTGGACTTATGAACGCCAGGTGATTCCTGGTGTGAGAGGAGACATGGAGTGGTCAGGCTTCCGGGCGTTAGGATTTTCCGCGGAGAGAAGACTTTTTTCTCTCACTACATGGGCTGATTCTTCCAGGCTTCCAGGCTTCTCGGTGTCATTGTTTGGGTCACTCAGCCTCTTCTGAAGCAAAGGAAATTCCCTAACCAACCTCTCCCTCCACCGAAACTTCACCGTTACTGAAATACACATAATTTGCTTCCCGGATGCGCCGTGTGTGTGTGTGTGTGTGTGTGTGTGTGTGTGTACATTCTTAGACTTGCCACTTCGGGACACTTCTCTTCATTTCTGTATGCATGACTTGAAATTATCTCATTCTTCAGTGTATTTTCCCATTTTGAGGGCAAGAGAAGAAAGGGTGAGAATATTTTGTCTTTTTTTTTTTTCTTTTTTTTCCTTAAATTTTACTTAATATACAGTGCAATGTTGGTTTCAGGAGAAGAAGAGGACATTTTTTCTCATTGATTTTATATGATATTCAGGAATAAAGAGAAAAGGAAAATCTGTCTCCAGCAACTGTTTTCACCAGAAGTCACAGTTGTCACTGAGTCATAATTAAACTAAGTTTATTTTTTGACTTATTAAATCCTATTTTAAACATCTAGGGGCTCCTGGGTGGCTCCTTCAATTAAGCAAACTATTCTTGATATCGGGTCAGGTCATGACCTCATGGTCCGTGAGTTCAAGGCCTGACTCAGGCTCTGGGCTGACAACGTGGAGCCTGCTTGGGATTCTCTCCCTCTCTCTTTACTCTCTCTGCCCCTCCCCTGCTCATGCACGCTCTCTCTCTCTCTCTCTCAAAGTAAATAAATAAATTTAAAAAATTTTTTAAAAATAAAAATCTAAATGCCAATTTTATCCCACTTTCCTAGAGACTTAATTCCAATCTATGTATACACAAGATTTGGTTCTTTCTAGTTCATTAGTTGCTGAAAGAAGTCTGAAAATGGCACAAGAAAAGCAAAACCCTGACTTTTTCGTTCCATCCTTACTTACTTGGGCCTTAGTTTTAGTTAATTTTCCGAAAACCACATGGGGAGGAAAAAAAAGGTCTATAGTAAAAAGTAATACTTAGAGCTCAACCCAGTGGAGTTGATTGTGTGTGTCATCTGTGAAATACACAGCCTTCTAAAGTAGAAAAAGCACAAGAGACAACCTTATTTATCAAACTGTCTACATTATAGCGATTAAGAACAGAAATACATCTACGTAAAGCTTTTAGCTATATTGCAATACTTTTATGTGATTCACTAGGGCAGCAACCCCTAGTGGTAATCGGCATTTCACTGAATATGGCTACGCTGCATCGTGCGTGAAATATCTGGAGATTTTTTTTTTCTCAAAACCACAGAATTAAATCATGGTGAGTAAGGCTGTAATTTGCAAACTGATTTGGAACTTTAAGCAAATACTTTCTTCAAATTCTGAATAGACCGTAGATTCAGGAGACCTCTACTACGCATTTGCTACAAGAATATAGTCAATTGACTTAATGCCTGTGATTGAAATGTATTAGTCAAATGAAAATGAATAAATGTAGGTAATGTTGAAGTATTGTGAAAATCTAAAAACCTTGTAGTAATAACAGCAAAATTGCCTTCAAGGTTGTAAGTTTTACTTTCCAAGTGTAAATTTAAGAAAGAGTACCAGGGATGACTGAGTGGCTCAGTCGGTTAAGCGTCTGACTCTTGATTTCAGCTCAGGTCATGATCTTATGCTTGTGGGATTGAGCCCCACGTTGGGCTCCACACTGGGTGGGGACCCTGCTTAAGATTCTCTCTCTCTCTCTCTCTCTCTCTCTCTCTCTCTCTCTCTCTCTCTCTCTTTCCACCTCTCTCCTCTGCTGTCTCTCTCTCTCTCTCTCTCTCTCTCTCTCTCTCTCTCTAATAAATTAAAAATGAGAGAAAAGAAAAAGTCCCACTCAATATATTGGTTCTCCTACATTTTAAAATAGTGTATATTTTATTGTATAAGTGTTGAAGTTTTATTTCTGTGATTGGCACAGATAAAACACATGTGTCAAACAGACAGGAAAAGTATCCTGTATTTATGATAAACTATTTGAAAGTTGGGGTAAGTGGGAAGAAGGGGCATCACCAGACCTTGAAAGGGAAGCTCTTTCGTGACTTTTCTATCCCATTTTATGATTATTCCGCATAGTTCCTTCCACAGGCTCTGTTCCAATTCAACATAAATGAATCTATTTTGTCATTGGCTGAGGTATTTGACAATCCAAAATTGTCTTAAAGAAAGGAGAAAATACATTTGGAAAGACATGTGGAAATGGGGCCATTGTATGGGGGTAGGTGACAGCAGCCATGCTAATAGTACAGTTAATACTCTTGATTATTATGTGCCGAGGACTTTATATTCATGGTTCCTTCAAGGACTTGCTGAAGTTGATTTTGAAGAAATTAAGGAAATAATTAGGTGGGGGAGAAGAACCCCCAAATAGATAGATGAGTAAGTGAAATAAATCTGTACGTGCGTGTCAGAACTCATGTTCTTTCATTATATTTCTCATTTTTCATTCAAAGAAAACTTAATCAAGTGAAAATTATTTACTATAGAGATTTATAACTGGAAATATAATCATTTAAATGATCATTTAATATGTCTTTGTGTATACGGGGTAATTTTTCTCTCAAATACTGCTAATTTTAAATATTCTTCTTTAATTTCCTAGTCTTTGCCAACCCGACCAAAGCCATCAGAATTTTTTAACATAATAATGAGCATAAAATAAAAAATCATATATATTCATATAAAACACACATATATGTCACATGTATCATACCATATATACATTTCAAATATACATTTTCTAAACTTTTGCTTTTAATATTCAACTGGCATTTATTTTAATGCCATTTTTTGCATCACACTTATTCTTGACATCATTGAATCATAAAGACAAAATAAAAAAGTAACTCATTAATCAACGAGACATTATGTCAGGTATTTAACGATGTTTCACCTTTTAACACAGATAAGCATGAGAAAAATAATGTGTTTATTCTTTTATATAGCTTATATTGTCTTCCTCCTAAATATATAACCTCTTACCCAAGAGTTAATGGTAACAAGAATGATAAGTAATAGAAATATATTTAAAATGTCAAACATAGTTGAAATATGATTTATTCCAGATTAGTCACTTGAGAAATGCTTATCTTCTCTTAAAAAAAAGAAAATCAATGCTCATCAGTCAGAAGATCTTCCCTCCTAGTGCCCTCTCTGGGTACACAGGCAGGTGGATGGCTGACATGGTCTTATGGCAAAAGGGAGGGAGAAGGGTGAATCTCCTTAGCTGCTGGCAAACACTCAGCCAACATGAGACCTGAGTGTGACCCGTCAGGTAGCTCTCTGTTGAGGCACATTCAGCCGACTCCCATGCCCAGAATAGGCCCATTTCTTTGCTACTTGTTGGCTTTTAATCGACCCCAGTCTCTTCTCAGGAGCACTCATGAGTTTAAGCAGAAGTACCACATGATCTGATTTACATTCTGCAAGAATGATTTACAACATGGTTTTAGCTGTTGTGTCAAGAATGGACTCTCCAGGAACCAAGGCAGAAACAAGGATGCCCCTTGAGAAGCTCCCACCATAATCTAAGGAATATTTCTGATGACTTGGCTGGAGCAGGTTAGATGCGTTCCTTTGGAGGGTAGTTCTTGACAATTTGGATTTGTGGGAGAGAAAGAGAGGGGCTAAGGAAGGCCCCAGGGTGGATGAATTAGGCACCCAGAAGGATAAAATTGCCCTAATTAAGAATGATTCTGAAAAAGAAAAAAATCAAGAGCTCCTTTTGGTACATGTTAAGCTTTAGAGGCCTGTGACACATCCTCATGAAACTGTAAGGGAGATGCTTGGATGTGGAAGGGGAACTCTGGGTTGGAGATGTGAATTTGGGGATCGTCAGTTGATACATGGTATGTAAAGCTGTGAAGACGCTGAGATGGTTAGGCGAATGGGAGTAAATAGAAAAGAGAGGAGAACAAAGGTATTTGTTTTAAGTTTTTTCTATATTCAGTGTTCAACATCGCTTTCCAATTTCCTTTGTGAATTTGTGATATTCTTTGTAAACACCATCCAGGAGTGATACCAAGTTGGCTCTGATGAACTCTTAGCCTTTTTCACGACTAACCCGGTTTAGCTTATGAACGCAAATCCACGAAAACACTTAGACGTATATCGCATTTCCTCTTTCTTTCCCTGTAAAAGAGCAAAATCACTAAGGCATAGTTAGCGTTATATTCATTGTATTAGCTTTTGGAACTGAGCTGTACGTGGTGTGAAGATTGGATCATTTTGCTGGACTTTTTCA